TTTCTATAAGCAGAGTTAACAGACCCTGTTGTATTTTCTTGTAATTTATTAAAAGAAGGTACACCGCCATCTTGTGCCGACTAAACTGACTTGAACGCACCTGACGTCTTAATAACGACTTGTCAACTTGTTAGTACGAACGTCCCAGGAGGACTTGAACGCAGCATTAGACCCATTGAAACCAGTGGAGTTATCAACTTAGGCTTACAATACTTTTGGGAAATGCAGCCCAGAGAGTTAATGGACTTAAATTACCTGATTAAAATATATTTACAAATTACACAGAAAGTTCAGATTTAGGTGTTTATGATTTATATCTAGTATTAAATTGTTTGTGCATCAAATTAAATAGATTACACATTCATGAAAACGCTTGCAGTTGGTTTGTAAACGTTCTCATTACACGTTTGTGTTTGTTGTTCTTGTTAATAATAATGCATTTGATTTATAATGTGCTTTTCTTAAACCCAAAGCGCTACAATAAAACAGAAACACAAAAAGAACAATGCAAAATTAAAAATAACCTTAAATAAATAGTTGTTGCATTTACACAGCAGCAGAACGCGTGTGGCGATTCATGATTCAAAACAGTGAATCACTTTGCGAGTGAGTCGATTCCGTTGACTCGGAGTTTCAAAATGCTTCGTTTCTCCATCACTCCTTCATCAACCGATCTCGTGTTTAAAATGAAACTGATTCGCTATATAGAGAGCGAAATGAAAGCACCGCTTCTGTTACTCATGCGCCTGAACGCTTCACACAAATAAAATACCTTTCATTAAAATCACTAGATAAAGCATTACCATGTTTCACCTGTTTATAATTAATTTAACAGTTTTATAAACAATTCTCTAAATGTGTTTAGTTGATTAAAACACTTTAAACAATTGAAAGCACTCACCTTTCTTCAGACGAATTACAAATGCGGGAGCGCGGCGCAGCCTCGTGACGTCACATCGTCAGACCAAAATAAAAGTCTTTTTGTGGTCTTGTTGGAGAAACAGCTGCCCTTATTGTGATTGTAGTATAACCAATACATTTTGGGTTGATTTAAGTTTTTATCTTTTTAACCCTACTAATATGACCCACAATTTTATCCTTAAAGATATTAGATTTTATTATGAAAACCCCAAATTGTTGTCTTTTGAATATGTTAATTTCATCCACAAGCAAAACCAGCTTAAATCTCCTTTGTTTTCCCTCTTTTTCTTGTTTAACTCTCTTTGTTTCATCCCTCAGGCTTAAAATCACTAGATAAAGCATTACCATGTTTCACCTGTTTATAATTAATTTAACAGTTTTATAAACAATTCTCTAAATGTGTTTAGTTGATTAAAACACTTTAAACAATTGAAAGCACTCACCTTTCTTCAGACGAATTACAAATGCGGGAGCGCGGCGCAGCCTCGTGACGTCACATCGTCAGACCAAAATAAAAGTCTTTTTGTGGTCTTGTTGGAGAAACAGCTGCCCTTATTGTGATTGTAGTATAACCAATACATTTTGGGTTGATTTAAGTTTTTATCTTTTTAACCCTACTAATATGACCCACAATTTTATCCTTAAAGATATTAGATTTTATTATGAAAACCCCAAATTGTTGTCTTTTGAATATGTTAATTTCATCCACAAGCAAAACCAGCTTAAATCTCCTTTGTTTTCCCTCTTTTTCTTGTTTAACTCTCTTTGTTTCATCCCTCAGGCTTATAAATAGCAACAACAGCAAATGCAATTTTTGATGCTTTATGATTATATGAATATTATGTTTATTCAAAAATATTTACCCTTCTAATTTTGCCTTTTTTCTGTGTATATTCTCATACTATGGTGTACGCAAAGCCATTATAGTTATGTTTTCTATTATGATTGTTCGTTGTTAAAGATACAACCATATTTCCCTGAGCTTGTATGTAATTAAAAGTTCTGCAGTAATAATAAAAAGAAGGTAAGGGAGGTGCACTAACACCTCATAGCATCAGTAACATGACAACCCTAACTAGTACAGTTTTCCTCAATATCTGCACAAAAGAAACGTCCATCAGCTGCTCGAAGATCTCGTCTGTGGAGACGACTGTTGATTTTATACTGGAAAAATGTAAGAATTACTAATTAAAAAATAATAATATTACCCCAGAATGCATTGCTAGCCCACCCCAACACTTACAATAATTATGATAAATGCTGACCATTAATTCATTTTATATATAATTTTAGTAAAACAAACAAAATGTAATTAGTTTTGTCATGTGCCACAGCTATGCATGAATACACACTAGACAAACGCAGCCAAAGTGATTACATCTCAATTTTCAGTCAAGTAATGAATTAATGCACAAGTTAATGTAACAATTATATTTTACTTACGGACAACAGGAAACACGAATAAATGAGTAAAAGAATAAAACCATGCAAATAAATAAATACAAGTCATCAACACATGAAACAAAGCTTTATTCAAACATTCATGTATTTAC